GAGGGCGCTCAGGGACGCACGCAGTCGTGGCACGCAGATAGTATGGTGGTGGAGGGTGGGGACGTTGTGGCGCTCACCTTGACCATGCGCTCCTTGACGACGTCCCGGTCGCACATGCCGCGCTGCCCCTGGTGCAACAGCAGCGCCAGCTGCCTGCGCGGCGCGGCAGGAGCAGGTGCTTGCGTACACGCGAGGTCGCGGCGCCGCGCGCGTTCAAAGCGCGTGCACACGCGGACGCGCCAGTGCCAATGGCTGCCCTGCGAAAGTGGAGAGCGCCAGCCCCAAACTGCGTTCGAGGTGCTCGGCGGCTTTAAAAACAGAGACCTGCGGGCTGGTCGCCACCTTAAGCGACGGTGGCCTGGCGGCCGGCACGCACCTGGTGTGCTCGCCCCACCAGTGAATGAACTCTTCCCGGTTGTATACAGAGCCCGGCATCGAAAGGACGATGCTGCAGGGGAGGAGAGGAGGGCGCGGCGCGAGGGTCCTCAGACAAGGACGCGTCTCTCGCACGCAGCCGCGCAGTCGAGGTTGTCGAGCCTGACAGCTTTCGCGCAAGGCCGGGCTTGGGGCATGCGCGTGCGTGCGCATGCGTAGCCCCCCAATATCAGGGCGCCCGGCACCACGTGAAAGCTCGCACCTGTGCAGCAGGCGGGCTGTCGAGGGGCCGATGGAGCCACAGAGCGGCACGGGCTCCTCCCGCGCGCGCGGCGCCGGCGCCGGCATCACCGCCGCCCTGACGGACGCGGCCGACGCTGCTTGCGGCTGGCGGCCCCCGAGAAACGGCAGCGTGCCGCTGCCGCCGCCGCTGCCGCCGCCGTCGTGCCACGCACCGCTGGTGGATGCGCCGGTCGCCCCGCTACCCTGGCCCTGGCCCGCGCACAGCTCCGAAGGGCTGAGCATGTGCAGCAGCTCCTGCGACTGCGCGTCAAGCAGCTGCGCGTCGAGCAGCAGCTCCTCGCGCAGCTGCTGCCGCTGAAGCTGCTGCTGCTGCTGCCGCGCGGCGCGCGCCGCCGTGGCTGCCTCGGACTCGCTCGCCTGCGTGCATGCGCCGGCGGCGCCGGCCCCAGCCCCCTCGCCTTTTTCAAGCGCCCTCGCTTCTTCGGCCACCTCGGCTTCCGCCTCTGCGGCGGTTATCTCGGCGGCCGCGAGCAGCTGGTCGAGCGCCTTGCGCGCGTGCAGGAGTGTTGAGAGCACCGCATTGCGCGCCTTGACCGTCGTGTTGCGCGACTGCTCGAGAGACACTTGCTCTTGGCACGCACGCACCTGCTCCTCTAGATGCACTGTCGGCGATCACGGGCGGCGTACAGCCGTGGGGGCGGGGGGCGGCGTTGGTTGGGTCGGTGATGCAGCAGGGGGCATGTTGCGCGCGGCCGACGCATCGCAAGGGGCCGGTTGCAGGCCTGTGAATGTGCACAACACAACTGAGGAATGATTGAAAGGGCGAATGCACACCGAAAGGTGGGAAAGGCGTGGGATGCATGTAGCAGGACACAAGCACGCACAGCTTGTGTTGTCAAACGCACGGCCGCGCATGCCGCGCACCACTTCGCGTCGGCCCTGCAGCCACCAGACCGACCATGTAATCTCACCGCGGATAGAGGATAGGTTTCTTTTCACAGTGCCTTGAGCATCAAGCCCGCCCGCATCCTCTTCGAGCGCCATTACAGTACACGGCAGTCTCCAAAACTACAGGGTAGCGGCTCCACAAGGTCGCTACGGACTGAGATACTTGTAGATTCAGTGCCGAGACTGGAGCAGATCGTCGCTGAACAGCTACTTTCGTCCTTGTAGCGATACACAGTGCCAGAGACGCTCCGAGTGGTTTCGCAACATCCCCTTCTGCACAAATGGACATATTATGCCGTTCGCGACCAGCAGCCCGAGCGGCCCCTGGTCCGAGACCAGTGCCCCTGATGTCCAGCCACCTCCCACCACGCGGCCTCGGTGTCGTCCCACTGTGGGGTCTGTAGGCGCGAAAGGCGGCTGAAACATCAACACATGTAGTTGTAGCGCTTTTTAGCATGGCAGCTGGCAGCGTCAGGAGCGAGCAAAAGGCGGGACAAAAGGTGATTTGCGCACAGTCAGGTTTACAACTTACCAGGCCACAGTGATGCTGGATTACTTGGAGGTGCGTTGTGATGTCGACATAGCCCATCCATGACTGGGTTGCTGGTCATGCTACATAAAGCCCCCTGTTCTGTGCCGCACCTCGTGTGATTTTTGTTGCGCACGAGCAACCACCAGTTGAGAACACGGAGGTAGTGTAGGGACAGCTTGGGAGCATGATCTGGGAGTGAGATCACAGCATGACAGGGAGGCAGGTTGAGGAGGGGCTCTTGGCTGTTAACAGCAGCCTGCCTAGCTGTCAACAGGAGCATGCCTGCCGCTAACGATCGTTATGCTCAATTGTCATGACATTGGATGCTGCGATCGGGTTCAGAGGGGGGAATTGGGAAAGCTTCAGGCTTAGCGTACAGATGCTACAGTCCCCTTGACTAGGCTTGGATTCACATCCCCTGGTATGAAAGCACTGTCCACCTTTCGCTGCCGTTGGAGTTACCGTCCCGCTCAATGCAGCTCGCGCCCATGCACCACCGTCACGGCTCCTCTTGTCACCAAACTACCTTCGGTACGAGCAGTGGGTCCTGAGATGCACGCATGCGTCTGCTTACGAGGGCGCCTCGCGATTTGCAAAGGCCAAGGTGGGCGTCTGCGGGACGTGCACTTCTTGGCTGTCCACCGCCCTTCGACGTCAATTTTAATTTGCTCATCAAGGTAGGTAACGTCTTCCCAACACAACCCAATCATTCAATTACCCCTTGAACACCCTTGCCGGTCTGGGTGCTCAGCTGCAGCCACCTTGCTGCTGGTTGTCTGCTGCGCAATTTGCACAAGCATGCGTCCAGTGAAACGCGCTGTACATCCTGCACAATGTCTGCCGATGCCAAGCTTGCAAGTGGCCTGCATCGGCCAGCTTCATGGAGTGGGGTTGTTGCGGGGGTTTGCGTCATCATCACCATGGAGGTTGAGCCGCAGCACATGCACTAGCAGCTGGCCGGGCGCACTACAGTTGTGCTGCATGGGGCCTAGACGCGCCGGCAGGTTGAGCCACATCAAAAGGACAACATGGCTCTCGTCAGACGGGGCCTCGTGGGCCTTGTGCCCAGGCTGCTCGCTCAGTCGGAGGCAGCGATCTGCAATTCGGGCCTACAGGGCGTCGGCGCTCCGTCGTTGCGAGATGAGGAGACTAGCAGCAGTGGCAGCAAATGGATGCCCTTCAGGGGTGCGTTGCGCACCTTACGGGGTTGGCAGATCGCGGTGTCTAGGCCGTGACCCTCGCTGTGCTCTCCGCATCCGCAGGCTTTGCCAGTGAGGTCACGGCGACCAGCCCGCTTGGTCTGTCGCCGTGTGACAAGCTGTCGGTGATGCCCAACCACAACATCACGTGAGCGGGGGCGCCGCACGTTCAGCCGCGCTCACAGTTGGCGCAGTCCCGTAGCAGTGGCAGCATGACACGTCTGTGTACTGCTCATGTCGAGTCTGCAAGTGCTGTGAGCAGCTGTATGTACGCAGGTCGGCGACTGCGGAGACATGACAGCCGCAGGGTTCTGCCGCTCGTGCCGCTGCGATGTCGGCGCCGACGTTGCGCCGCGCAGGGCCAAGCACTGCCGGGCAGAGCTCCCTCCATGCAGCGCCCCACCCCCTGCTGTGGCGCAGGTACGACGAGTCCAACCACAAGCGGCTGCCCCCCAGCGCCACGCCTGGCGTGTCGCCGGCGATCCTGGTCCAGGCGGGCGGGCGCTTCTTCTATGCCACCGCCGCGCGCCTGTTGGCGCTCAAGTTCATCCTTTCCATGACTGTGGGTGGATGCCGCGCGAGTGGCTTGAACCCCGTGAAAGTTGTGGTGGCGCTTGGTGGGGTCGTCGCGGCCGGCCGACGACTGATATTCACACCGCAACCCGAGGGGAGACTGTTGGAGGCTGCGCAAACGAGCTCCGTGGCGTTGGCGGCGAGCTCATGGCAGTTTGGGGGTGGTGTCCAGGCCCGGGTCGCGCCTTCAACCCCGTGCTGCAGGCCGGAGGTGGGGACTAGACGCGAGCCCTGTCTCGTGCAGATGGCTCGCCCTTTGGGCTGCCCCCCCCCCTGCTAACGCGCTGGATCTTGCCTGTGCATGCTGGCACCCTCCAGGCCTCCGCGGACGTGCTGGCGATGGCGTCACTGGAGGTGGACATCAGTGGCATTGCGGAGGGCGACGGCGTCACCGTCAAGTGGCGCGGGAAGCCCGTGTTCATCCGCCACAGGTGACCGCCTGTGCCGGCGTTCAACAGCGCTCCTTTCGCTCTGCAGCGGTGGTGCCGCGGTCTGCCTTGTCTGACACCCACCTGCACGCACTCGCAAGTAGGCCCACACATCACGACACAGTTGCACATCCACTCACTCACATGTGTATGCGTGCGCCTACGCATGTCCCTGCGTGCGCGCGCTCGTGCACACACACACACACACACACACACACACACACACTCAATTCACCCACACGCCCGTTCTCACACTCATGCAGGACTGAGTCCGAGATTGCTGAGGCCAACGGCGTCAACCTCGCGGAGCTCAGGGACCCCCAAACCGACTCCGAGCGCGTGATCGACCCCAAGGTGCCACCACGCGGCCTGGCCTTGTCGCAAAACGGCCCGCACAGCCTCAGCAACCCTCACACCTGCTTGCGTCCTGCGCGCCGCGAGCGTCTGGTCTCAGGACGGATGGAACCTCCCCACCCTCCACCCACGCCCGGATATTTTGCGCCTTCACCCTGTAGTACCTTGTGGTGGTGGGCGTGTGCACCCACCTGGGCTGCGTGCCCATCGCGGGCGCGGGCGAGTACAACGGCTGGTTCTGCCCCTGCCACGGCAGGTGAGCGGCGCACCAGGCGGGGACGCCACCCCCCTGCCTTGGCTGCCAGCCAGTCGCCCGCACAATGTCAGCGGGCACGCCCATGCTGCACCGTGGTTTTTGGCCTTGGAGGGTCGTCTGCTCCTCAAACCTCATGCCTGCTTCATGGTTTGCTGAGCACTACTCGGCCGGCAGTATCTCTTCATCCTCTCAGCCCCTGCACCGCCCTGCCTCTGCCGCAAACCCCAGCCACTACGACATCAGCGGCCGCATCAGAAAGGGCCCCGCCCCCACCAACCTCGAGGTGAGCCCTCCCCTTGGCTGTCCCACGGTGGCGCTCGGTTGCTGCGCCTGCGCTGCATCGCCCTTCGTCCCCTTCCGGACAAGCCTGGCACTCCCCCTCATTTTCAACCCTGTCTCTCTCCGTGGCCCCCGTTCCCGAACCCTCCACCCCTCAGGTCCCAGAGTACAGGTGCGGCTGACAGTGGCTCCTGAGGGGCCTGGATTATTGCGGGGTGCTGTTTGCAAGTGGAGCTGCCCTCAAACTGCTGCTGCTCGCAACCGATGCATCGCCTCAGCAGTCGGCTTGGCATCAGCTTGTCCATGAATTGTTTTCATCTATTCACAATTGCCCCCGCGCACTTCCATGCACACCTCATGCACACCACAGGTTCCTCGGCGATGGCAAGGCTATCATCGGCTGACCTGGCACCCAGCATGGCATTCAGCCTGAGGCGTGCTTTCTCGTGGCCCAGGCACATGCACGACAGACAGCCGCACATGCCTCACGGCTCACAATGGGTCTGCATGGCTTTGTATGGGCGGCTCCTGGTGGCATGGATTGCAGCAGCAGCGCTGCATGCACACAAGCTTGACATTGAGCACCCAGAGCTTAACTTTGGTGTGGGGGTTGGTTCAGGGCAAGTGGCGCGGACCGATCGATCTGGCGGGCTGCAGGTCCCGTCTGCGTTGCAGCGGCTGACTGCCATACGCCCTACCAGGGAAGGTTTGATGCCACGAGGCGGGCAATGTAACATTGGTACCTGTGGCTCTCTGCGCCTGCCGTGGTGGTGAATGGCGCTCGTACCTCAGCACGAGGCGAGCCGGGCGGCCCCACAACAGCGGCGTGCATGGCCTGCGTGCGCCACGTGCCAGAATGTGGATGCATGCATTTAATTGTCCACTATGTATTCGAGATCAAACACAGTTGGCAAGATAAATCCACTCAACATGCAACGTGAGCTGATAACAAAGTGTGTGCTGCTGGACATGTGTCAAGCAAGCCATGGGCCAGCTTTACAAAAAAAGCCAATACCACGGTGCTTTGTGCTTGAACAAAAACCACCCACTTCTTTGGAGAGGGTGCTACGCACGACAAAATTGCAATCTGCAAAATGCAAGCAATGCGTCTGTGCAGCCAGGCGTGCATGCAGAGTGTAGTAAGCCATCCATAGCCGGCCGCGGCCACATGACATCGCACGCCACAGCCCTGGGGTAGCGGAGCCACATGGCTGCGCCACCACCGCATGCTATTAAGGGCGTCACCCTGTGCGCCATGCTTGTGGGGTCATGGGGTGATAGCACTTGGCAGGCGGAATCAGAAGATGGCGTCCAGTGCCAGGCCTGCAGCCAGTCCGCCCAGCAAAGCCGTGCCTATGCCAATGCCGGGCTTCGACGGCCGTGCCGCCTGCGCGGGAGCGTGCCCACCGTTGGGCGGCGGGCCGCTGCCATACACCACGGGCATAGTGGGCAGCTGCTGGGGACCGCTGCTATGGTAAGGCGCCTGCTGTGCATAGCCAGCGGGCGGCTGCTGTGGGTACGGCGGCTGCTGCTGGGGGTACGGCAGCTGCTGCGCCAGCTTGCCGCTCGACGGCGATGCTGCAGCTGCAGGTGGGGCCCACTGGTGAGGGTAGGCCAAAGGGTCATGGGGGTAGGGTGAGGGGGCCACCGCGGACTGCGGTGCCTGCACGGGCGCCTGCGGCTGGCCCCAGGAGGGGGTGGCGGGCTTCTGCTGGCCCCACTGTGACCCGCTGGTAGGCTCCTGCTGGCCCCACTGCGGTGCGCTGAGCGCACCTACAGCAGGGTACCCCATCGCCGCGGGCTGGGGCTGCTGTGGGTACGATGTCTGCGACGCTGACACCTGCCACTGCTGCTGGTGCTGCGCTGGCGGCGGCGCCTGCCACTGCGGGGGTGGGATCGCCGCCGCGCCCGCCTGCTGCAGCGCAGCCTGCTGATGGCGGTCGCGCAGCTGAAATCGCATCTGCAGCGCCACCTCACAGACGGGGGGGCCGCCGCGGGGCGGCAGGATTGGGACGACCAGCGCCTGAGCACCCTCTGTGATCACGACCCACAGGGACACGCGCGCCGTGCCGAGCAGAGTGTCTGGCCCAAACACGGATTCGTAGACCTGCAGCAATATCTCTTCGTCCGCCTCGGTGACAGTAAACGTCACTTCATCGTTGATGTCTGCGGCAAGTCCAGACCTGGTCTTGGCGGTGCGGGTCTCGCAGGCGGCCGTCTTGGCGTTGGTTGTGTGGATGCGGACGTAAACCTTGCGCTTGCCGCCTGGAACAATCCGTACTTGGCCAACTGGGGTGAACAATGGTGGCACGATGCGAATTAGATGAGGAACAGGTCTACGAGGCGAGGGGGGATGCCGATGTGCGCAAACGGTCACGAGCGGCACTCGATACAGGCCTAGGGCGCGTGTGGGCACTTGCCGCTTGCAGAGGGTGCACGGAAGGCCACTGGCTGGCCATGCGTGCAGGCACGTTCCGAGCCTGGCGCGGGGCAGTGCGACCAACCCGCCGGGCTGCTCCCCCTCCCATGCCTCCTCCTAGAAGTCTTCATGCCACCTACCGTGTATTTTTAGAGTTCCTGACGCCATGTCTCTGCAGCGCTTGGCTGGGCTTGCCTCGCTCGAAGCAGGTGGTTCACGATACTAGCAAGTGTTATCCGGGCTTGGGACTTCTTTGGGCACCTGGGGTTGTGAATTAGACTCGACAAGGGCTAAGCTGCTCAATCATAAGCCGGTCCTTCCAGATGAGATGAGCACAGCACGAGAAGCTCGAAGGTAGCTGACCTAATGACACAGGTATTGCCAGGGCGCATCGTCCATCGCCTTGAGGTGCACTACTTGGTGTGGTTTGATTTTAGCATACCCAACGGACCATTGGGATCAGCGCCAGATCATTTGAGTGAAGGGGGGCACAAAACTTGACCTCAATGAGGCAGGTTTGCGGAGGTGGCTTTCAGATGCAGTCGCGAACACTGCGGCTGCGGGTGACGGCACGGCAGCACCGGGCAGTGCCTGCTGTGGGGCTGAGCCGGAGAACGCGGGCAACGGTGTGCCGTGCGACCACGGAAGACACTCAGAATGAGCGGATCAAATCCACGCTGGCGGATCTGGATGCCCTGTTGGGCATTCAAGAGGAGCCGAAGGCCTCCGATAAGGTGTGTGGGGGAGACTCAGCATCCAGGCAACTGAAATATCTGCTATGCCGACGCATCAACTGGTTCCAGCTCCATGCATCCTTGATGCGTGCCCTCTGCTGCTGTGTGCTGAGCAATGCGCGCCCTGCTGGGTCGCCAGCAGGCGCCGCCGCCACGCGTGCGCGCTTTGCGCATGCTCACCCCCGTCTCTCGGGCGGCACCCCTCTGAACCCCGCATCTTTGGGCCGCACCATAGGCCGCCACTGCGGACGCAGCTGCGGCAGCGGCGAGCCCGCTGAGCCCCGAGGCGCTGCAGACGGCTGTGGCTGAAGAGGTGCAGAGGCTTGCCACCAAAGACGGCGTCACAAACCCCGAGCTGGAGGGCGTCATCACGGAGCAGATGGTGCGAGGCATGACGCACCGGCGTTGCCGGCGCTCCCGGGGTGGCTGGGTGACGGCTGCTTTGGGGCACCCGCATCCGGGCGGTCGCAGCCAGGCGCGGTTTGCTGCTTTAAACGCCTGTGCACATGCTTGCAGAGCACGGCAGGGCCTGCCTGCGCTCAAACTAACTTTGTCGCTGCACCTGACACGCACGGCTTTGCATCAATCATGCAAAACCTGCAGAAGAAGATTCTGGACCGTGCTAAGGCCCTGGCTGACGAGCAGGCGAAGGAGGGCGGCGCCGCGGGCACAAACACAGGCGCCCCAGGTGTGCCGAGGCAGGTTTTGCGGCAAGACTTTGAAAATTTGCTGGACATCTTCTTCTCGGGTGCGCGGGCGGGCTATAGGGGTTGCTTGCCTGCGGGTGGGAGACGCAAAATTAGCCAGACAGCGCGCGTGACACAAACGCTGTCGGCCTGCTGCGACACGCAGCAGCACCTGTGCACCTGCGGCCGCGCTGGGAGCCGGCTGCCCCAGAGCCACGCAGCCTGCTCGCATGGGTAGATTCACCACTGGTGTCAGCCGGCGCAGTGCGGCGTCACATGCGTTTTCACATCGTTTTGTGGCCGTCAACGCCAACAAAACCAGGCGAGACCGGGGTGGACAAGGCGGACATGCAGAAGCTGCGGGAGAGCGGCGTGTTTGGGCCCCTCACGTTCTGGGTGACAGAGATGCGCAACCTGCAGGACCCTGCTGACGTGGCGGCGGGCAACAGCAAGGTGAGCGCACGTGTGGCGGCCGGCAGTCGTGTTTGTCAGAGGGGGGGTGCTTTCAATGCGTGTGTGTGTGTGTGTGTGTGTCTTCAAGAGGGAAAGAAAGTGGGAAGGGTGGTGGTAGGTCGTGCTCATTTGAGTTCGAGTGTCCGTGAGTGGGTAGGGAGTGGCTTCGTACGGTTGCAGTTGCGGTTGCGATGGGCACCGGTGGCCGGGGTGCAGCCGCACCCGCGATTGCAATCGGCCGCAGGGCACCGAACACGCCACGTGCAGGCGCTCAGCCACCCCTGAGCCGAAGCTGGCAACACAACAACCTGCCGCGCTCTCGCGGCACCGCCTCCCCCCCACCCTTCCCCGTCATCGAGCCCCGCACTCCCCGCTGCGCTGCGCCGCGCCCATTGCGCCCCAGCAGCAAGTGGGCTACCTGATCCGCGGCAACCTGCGCAAGCCGCGGCTAGAGGTGTACGAGGCGCTGTGCGCCAAGGTCGCGCAGCTCTTCGGTGAGAGGCGGGGGGTGCGGGGACTCCTCTGGCGCATCCAGGGGTGGGGGAGGGGTGGCAGGTCAGGGCCACGCAAGCCGGCACGTTGCGCGATCGTGCGAGCCCGCGTGCGCGGGACGGCGTCAGGGTGCGCCGTGAGAGGGGGCTCGGCTCGGCGCGCCGTCGGAGAGCGGTGCGTCTCGCGGCCGGCGCGACGCAGCCCTCGCCCCCCGGCTCTCGCGCTGCCTTGAAGCACAGTCGCGCCCCCCCTTCCCCCTGCGTACGGGCGGCCTCGCTGCAACCCCCACACACACACTCACACACCTGCTCTCGCCCCGCCCTCCGCGCCCTCCCCCCTCCCAAAGGCACAAAGTACGAGGTCCTCATGATAGAGGACCCGGATGTGCTGGACCCCGACGACGCCCCCTTGGCGCGCCCCCAACCCCCCGCGTCCTCCAACGGCGCGAGCACCAGCGGCCGCGGCGGCGCGGCCGCCGCGCCGGTCGCGGAGGACAACGTGCGGGTCGCGTTCCAGCTCGTGCCGGCCGCCGCGGCGCAGCCGCCGCAGAGCAACGGGTGGCAGGTGACGGTGGCGGGCGTGCTGCTGCTGTTCTTCCTCGCGTCGGCGGTGCAGCTGTCCCTGGTGGCCAACATCACGAAGCTGCCAAAGGCGCGTGTGTGTGTGTGTGCGTGTGTGTGTGTGTGTGTGTGTGTGTTTTTAGGGGGGGTGGCACGTGGGTGACGGGGGGACGATGTGCTGCAAGGCACGGAAGCGGTCGGGTGGGGGCGGGAGAGCGGCGCACGCGGCTTCTGAGCGCGAGCGCGTCGCCGTCGGTGAATGGGGACTGCGCTGCTGTCCGGGACCGCTGGCTCCGGGCATGGGACGTGGTGCGGGCCGGCGGGGGCGAGGCGGCTCCTGCCTTGCAAGCCCACACCCCCCTCGCC